CCTCAAATAAAATGGCCACAACTTCTGACCTTGGTCATGGCCAATGCTGAATAGGGTAGTGCCGTGAACTTTGTGAAAAGATGGCCTGGTCAGCTTCAAAGTCACGTGATTTGACATCACGAAAGGCATCTGAAATTTTACCCTTCATGCTTCTCTGTGGACACTGTAAGCGAAGAATTCTTATGTTAGTTTGTGTACTTAACCTATGTTAGTATTAACGTTGCACTGTGTTTTTTCATTATTCATGTATTTTTTATTACTAAATTTGAGTTAAGTAATTTAAGTAAAGCAGTTATGCTGTTTTGGTTTTTAAGTTCACACTGGTAGTTAAGTTTACTTATTTCTTTAGAATTTGTTAATAAATATAGCTATCGACTTCTTTGTAGAGCTAAAATGAGTTAAGTCTACTTTCATGCCTGCACGATGTTGTGTTTCAGTCTGCAAATTGCATTATGTTAAAACCAGTGGATATGTACAAATATTCAAGTTTCCAAAAGATACATTAAAAAGGGATTTCTAGATAAAAAAAAAAAAAATTCCGAGTAAGCATTGCATGTGAGAAATATTTTTTAAAAGATGATATCATTCGGTACAATTATTTATCAAAAGATGAAGGCATTGTTGTTTAAGTTTGTAAAGGACACCCTAAATTATAAACGATGCTTGTCCATGCATTTTTTCTGATTGTCCAAAATACTTATCTGATAATCTGACATCTCCGAGGATGAACAAAGAGGAAAAAAGAGCCAATACGGATAAACATATTTTTAATCAATTTTTGAAAAAGGACAAAATTGTACCTTTTGAGGATATTTCTTCTTCATTATGGAATAAGCTAAACATTTCAGATGATTCAGATTTAATTTGATATAAAATCTGCTGATGGAAATATTTTATTGCTCAGTTTTAATCTACAGCCTAAAGTTGGGAAATCTATCTAACTATCACTTCATATGAATACAGCAGTGTCTCTTGGACAAGAAGCTGTTGAAATGGGAGTATGTAAAAATATATTAAATGGAAATACTAAACTTACTTTATGGACTGAATTTGAACACATTTATGGCTATGTCAAAAGCATAGTAATTAAAAACATTAAAATCGAACTATGACTTACCACTATATAACTAGGAAGCATATGTTGAATTAAAATTATTTGAGAATCTTACTTGAGGAATAGAACATTTTATTTTGGAACAAATTAAGATGCGTAATAAAAGTAAAATGGCTAGAAGGTACCAGTCTTTGCTTATTCGTTATACATTATCCCACCAGCCACAGAGCGTAAAATCGCTGAACACTGGTAGTTCCGACTTGGGTTCGAATTCGGGCGAAGGGGCTGGCTGCAAGGGAATTTTCGTGATTTTTCCCATGTATACCGTGTATATGAGCCAGTTTGCCTTAGAAAGTCCTCTGTGAAAGCATACCTCACGCAAATACCCTAGTGTGTTTTGCTATAATAAACTAAATAAATCGAATCATATTGTTATACATTAAGTAAAGTTGCTTCTATGACAGTCAACTAATCTGCTTTCCATGCATTGACCACTTCTGAAAAATCCTAGGCTTGTTAAAGCTTGATGTATCAATGAACAATGAAGCTAATTACAAGTATGTAAAAGGTAAAGTTAAAAATTTACTGGGGCATTAGCAATTCGTGAATTTATATATTGATGAGGTTCGAGTGAAAAATGTGACATAGAAAGGTAAAATAATAATAATAATAATTGACTTTCCTAAGAATCTTGAACGTATTGAAGCATTATCTGTTCAGTCTTTTATGATTTCTTCTTTATTATCAGATTATAAGGATATCATTACATTAGTAATAATTCGCTTGCTGTAATGCAGCACAAAATAACGCTTTATTTAATTTATGTTGGCAAATCCCAAGAGGATTCAAGGAAATTTTAATTTTTTTGCGACCTTTTTATCTCCATTTCTTTTTGTTAGATAATTACTGAAAGGAATAAAAAATAAATTTGCATACTTTTTAAAAGCTCTGAAGTATTTATAGTTTTAAACCATTGGATATATTACTGATCCTTCATTCAAGTTATTCTTAAAATTAAAAACAACAATAATTATTAATAATTATAGTGTTTGATAAGGTAATAAAAAATCGTTTTTATGTCTTTTAATTGGTTAAATAGGGTTTATATTTTGTCAGTTAATTATTTATACTTTGGAATCCTTTCATTCCTTTCCTTCATATCTGCAAAAATAAACCTGCGAAATTTGGGATCAGTGAAATCAACAGTAAATTTTGTAAATATATTTTTAAGAGTAGTTATTAAAGAATTTCATTTTAGTATTTAGTGGAAGTAAGAACAATCAAACTGTAAAGATTTATTTATGTTAATAAATAGCAATCTTTATTTATTTTAAAACTGTTTTTCAGCAAATCTTAAAATGTCATTACTGCGCAGAATAAAAATAATTGTACACAATATCGTAAAACACTGGCTAGAAAATTTCATGAATATTTCTTAAAGTAATACCTCTGAAGCTATCAATCTTAACTATAAATGTATAAACGACCTTTTATATACGTTTATCCATAAATCTCTGAAAATTTAATTACTATGCATTATTTAAAACAAAAGAATCTAAGCATTTAACGAAACGCGCATATTAAGCCGAAGTAAAGTCGTGGAAGACTCAGGACGCCTTCCGTGACGTCACTCGTAGCTAACCAGGCCATGTTATATCCAGTTCACCGTGCTAGTGCTCACCCTTAGAAGAGGGAAGCCACTGCATCAGCAACATTTAGGACTACGTTTGCATAAAATCGGAAATTGAAGAAAACAACATTCTTAGTTTTTAGCCTTTAAAATACAATCTTTGTAAATCAGTACAATTCTTGGCATGTTCACACAGCTACTTCATTCCTTTGTAGAACTCATCTTTTGAAATACCAGTCTCTGGTTACAGTTTTCTGAAGCTCATCAATGTTTTTAAAATAATAATCTTTGAGATTAGACTTTAAAGAAGAAAAAAGTAGTTGAAAACTGTGACACTTTTCTTTCCTAGAACCTGAATGATGAGAATGGAAATGCGCGATGCTGCATTTCTGTGCAGCAGAAATCAGTTATTTGATGAAGCATTTTCCAGCCTAACACGAATTTTTATCAGAAGCCTGTCCATAACGTCTTTATATAATATGGGGTTCATCATCTGTCCCTCAAGAATAAATTATTTCTGAATTATCCCTTTTCAATTAAAAAAGGTCAAAACGTTGGCCTCTACTAGAGATTTATGAAATCAAATACATTGCTGTGGCTATCATGAATCTTCTTCAACCCAAGCAAATGACTGCAGTTTTTCTCATGATCATACACAAAGTACCAAATTTTATCTCTAGTCACAAGGCGCTTGGAAAAAAAACCAGGATTAAAGTCTTTTGTTTGATTCAAATTACAAAATAAGTTAATTCAATCTTCTCTTCTGACGTCAATGCATGACAGACAAATGAAGAATAAATTACCGTATTTGACGACATAATAAAACGCACTTTTTTTCTTAGATTTGGTCTCAAAAAAGTTACCTGTGTCTTATACGTGAAGGACACTGGTTAACTTTTAATACTGAAAGCTATTTTTAGCCCAGATAAAGGCCTAGACACACATAACTTTTTCTACATCCGCCATAATTATTTTGCACATGCATGAAATATCTGTCGCCAAACAGCAGCAAAGCTCGAAGCTGATGTCGAAGTTCGAACAGGTTCGACGGACACATTACATCTATGGAGCCTTTTTTTCTTTACATAGACATTCTTTGACTCAGCCGACACACGTGTCGGTATCGGTGCTACTCTGTATAAACGTGTCGGTATCAGTGCTTAAAACTATTTGTTTTAAAAAAATACCCTGGAAATATGACTACAGGAAACAAGAGATTAAGCTATACAATTCAGTATAAACTAGGAGTGTTAAACTATGCCAAAGTGCATGGAAACAGAGCAGCAGCAAGGCATTTCGGTCCACCACCTACCGAAAAAATGATACGTACTTGGCGACTGCAGGAAGATCAACTGAAACTGCTAAAAAACAAAAATATAACCCTCGATGCCCAGCTTTATCTTGGCCCGAACTTAAAAATGCCATAAAAATGTGGGTGACAGATAAGACAAAATCTAGGATAAGTGTTTCAACTAAAATGATAATCAATGAGGCCAAAGGATTTGCAGAAAAACATGGGAATCAGACCTTTTCAGGGTCTGAGGGCTGTAGACTATTGAAACTTTTTTCCCTTGCGTGCGGCCTTCTAAATAAGAGTGCGTCTTATATGCCGTCAAATACGGTAGTCTTTTTTTTTTTTTAAAGATTTTCTTGAAAGTTTTGTGTAGAGTGTCTTTACTTCTGTTAAGCTCATCAGCTATTACTCAAAAAGACAGGTAGCAACTTTTCAGCAACAACTGCCGAACTTTCACAATCTTTACATCTGGCCAAGACTGCAAAAGCGACTACTCCAATGTTCATCATCAACATCTTTGTGCCCATTAAGAAAATCATTGGATTGTGTTAATGCTTCATATCCATATGCCTTTCACAACTCAAACGTCTCCATTTCTATTTTCTTCACTTTATCACAAGATTTTACTCTGCTTAGCTTTCGAGTCCCTGACAGATGTCCACTAGATCAAAGCAAATGATTAATAGCACAGAAACTTCTGTCCGTAAGCAGATGTTATTTTAGGAAAAGCAACTTCAGATAGCCATGTAATAAGTGCTGTAAATTATCCTCTGGCAGGTCTGCTGAAATTTAGTTTAAAAAAATTAATTCTAAAACTTTGAAGACACACTGTGTATATTTGCTGAAGGGCTGTCCACTTCTGAAAAGGCTATTTGTCAACAAACAAATTTTGTAATCTAGTATCTGTGCATTTTAAACCATCAGACATAATTACAAGATTATGGTATGACAAAATAAATAAAATAAAAACATAACTAGAAATATGTTTTAATTGAAAAATGCATTACAGATGGCTAACTTACTCGTCTAGCAAGAAATTTTCACAGTTTATTAAGTCTTCTCGGAGTCTTTCAGCTGAATGAAAGAGAAACTTGTTTTTGGTAGATGTAAGTTTCGTCTCCTTCAGATAGATATTATTTAAAGACATTTTACTTTTTAGATCCAACCTGAAAATTAATACAAAAAACAAAATGATTATGACACAAAACTATATTTTCAATTCATTTGTAGCTAAATACATTAAAACCCAATTAATCACAAGGCCCTGCATTTTCCAAGACAAACCTGTAAATACTATATTTCATAAAAAAAACTTTGCTATGAATATTGTATTAAGGGCATTAAGAAAAGAAAAAAAAAATATGTGAAGCTTCTAATATGGATACCCTTGTTAGTAGTTAAGTTGAAGTTAAGAATCAACAGGAAAAGAACTTTAACTTAAAATTTAACTGTTAATAAAATTAACATAATCCTTACAACTTGCAGTTATGTTTTTGTTACACTTTTTAAGTGACCATTTAAGTGACCATCAGCATTTAAGTTTAAAAAAGTTTTAAGTCAGCATTTAAGTGACCATCAGCTTGAAGTGTTAATAAATGGTTTTTATATCAACCTTTTGTTTCACTTGTAATACTTGTAGCTAGAAAGCCATAAGGTATGAAAAGTCATCTGATGGTCTCTGCAGTTACTTTGGGTGATCTGTTATTTTAAAGCAATAGCATAACTAAAGAATATGTATTGTTAAGATGGAAAACTTCGCAGCAGCAGGAGTGGCTCCCTTCGAACGAAAAGGGAAACAGCTGCGCATGCGTGAAATATCTGTCGCCAAAAAGCACAAAGCTCGAAGCTAATGTCAAAGTTCGAACAGGTTCGCCGGTCACATTTATCAAGAGTTTAAAGCTGTGCGACTACATTTTTTTCCTCCTCCATATTGATGGATATAAAATCAGACATCAAACTGCGATATGGATAATGCAAGTTCAACAGCCAGTGAAAGTGAAACTCCACCTAATTTTCTTATTCATCTTAACCCATGTTCCTCAATTTCCTATACATGTCGAGGAGGAGGAAAATGTTGGCCAGGTCCGGTACATCACAGAGGGGGAAATTCTCACCAACAGGTTCCATCGCCAAATCCCTTAGGGAATTTCCCTCTTCTTTCTAGTGGTGTAGAAGACAAACTGATTCACATTACATCTATGGAACCTTACCTTCTTTACATAGACGTTCTTTGGTACAACCATATATCATGCAAATTAATTAATTTATTATTATTGGTCCCCCCTTCCGAATTAGCGAATACCAATCACAGATGTCGGTTTTTGAGTATAACATAAAAAAGGCACTTTCTTCTTTTAAGGAAAAACAGCATAATAACACTTTGACACATTCTCAGATTCTGTAAATACAAAATTTGAATCTTATGTTGAAGGATTAATAAAGCATTTTGCTTCCTGAATTTACAGCATTTGCTTTTGCAATTCAACATTTTCACTTAATCCTCACGAATCACAAAGGAAAGCTCACATAAATATTCATTTCTTAAATATTGTCATAATGCTATGAAACTTTCAGTCTTTAATATTCTTACTCAATGCCTCCATCTAATTTTTAATCTTGTCTCTAAAACAAACAGTTGACTTGGACTGGATTATTCGATTACAAGAAAAGCACACTTGGGAAATCTGCAAAGATGAGCATGGATGACTTTCTAACATGGCTTCCCACAAAAAACTGACTCAAATTTATTTTTATACAAGAACAATTACAAAAACTTATGAACATGCACATTCATCAGCCAGGAACAGAATTTAGGGAAAATTGCAATTTACAATAAAATTTACAATTGCAGGTCTTGCTTTTTCCTGCTTTACAAAAAAGGCTTTTGGGAAAACGTAATTTTTCAAAAGTATTCTGTGCATTCAGATGACAACCATCACTGACTTGGATAAAAGAAAATGATCTCCTCGTGTCACAAATGAATTTTGAAGGATGTTTTGGATCCGGATTAGCAGCTGCTTTGAGTAAAACCTGGGAATGATTATTTCCTGAGTTCTGGGTATGCACATTTCAAACATATAAAAAGGAATGTGCAGAAACAGTAATGAGCTTTATGAGCCTTTTGGGGGGATCGTGCAAACCATTTGCAAAATTTGTTTCTAATTTTTAAGCTCTTGCTTTTTTATTTGTTTGTTTGCTTGTTCATTTATTCCAAGAAAAATACAGCTTGCATGTCATAATCATAAAAAAAAATAAATAATAAAAAAAAACCCTTAATTCAGTGGCGCAAATAGCCCTAATGGGCCTAGGCCTGCAGTGCCCTGAAATCTGCTTGCTTGACCGTGGGCCCCGGACAACAGCTTATTGTACAGAAGAAGGCATAGAACATGTTAAAATTACTACTGGTATTCCAAGAGGTAACAGACAGATTGAGCGAATGCATACAACTTTAATTCCTGGTTTGTCGAAATTATCACATGAGAATTCAATGAAATGGTTTAAATATGTTCCAGATGTCCAGAGAATAATCAACAGTACAAATACAAGAAGTACAAAATATTCACCATTTGAGCTTCTCATAGGCACGACAATAAAGAAGAAGGAAAATCTAAGAATTAGTGAGATATTAAATGAAGAATATCTAAATAGTTGATGCAAGAACGTGATGAAATGAGGGAAGATGCGAAAAACAACATTTTGAAGTTACAAGAGGAGAATCGTAAACAGTTTAACAAAAGACAGAAGAAACCGAAACTGTACAAGACTGGCGACTTGGTAGCCATTCAGAGAACTCAGTATGGGACTGGTTTGAAACTATGACCTAAGTTTCATGGACTGTATAAAGTCATAGCTGTTAAATCAAATGATAGGAAGTCGAAAAAGTAGGATGCCATGAAGGACCGAATTTGACATCTACTCCGGCTGAGCATATGAAGCCATGGTCAAATTGATTGATGATTGTATCAGCTCAAATATAAGGACCTGATACTCTTTTTTTTTTTTTTTTTAATTCTCTTTTTAGGTACCTCATAATGATGGTGATGATTGAGCACTTAACAGACATTGAGAACGATGCCCTGCAAGATGGCCGGACCTGTGAAGATCATCGACGGCTGATGCTGAATTAGTGAATACCAAGCGAGGTGACATCATCACCACTTAGCACAGTGCAGAGCAATCGAGACAGACAACCGTTGGAAGTGCTGGAGACGAGACGCGTTCCAGACGAGCGGATATCTGAGATGGAATGGAAGCAGACAGATGATCCACAGGTCCATCAAGATGTTTGTCCATAGTAGTGTTATGTGGGCAAGATGTGCCTTTGAATATTTATTAAGGACTGAGTATTAGCCATTGTTATATGATGCCGGTATAACTGTCAGACTTTCTTTCACCATGAGATTACCAGCTGAACTTTTAATGCTTACTTTTTATCTTTTATTTCAATATTAGTAAATTAATTTCAATATTAGTTTAATTTTAATATTAGTAAAATAAAGCAGTAATTTATGCTTTGAACGTGCTCTACCACGTTTTTCGAAAGTAAATACCACATGTATGTGTATTACTGATAACTATAATAGCATTCTGCAAGATGACCACATTCTAACCCAAGAGTGATCATCCAATATGTACCACAGCCACTAAATTGTCTAGTTTCGCTCTTTATGTCCTTCGTATGCCAAACGAGTTATTATACATCCGTTTCTTATTCCATTAGGAAAACTACTTTCTTCGGAAAAAAAAAAAAAAAAACTCATCATTAACTCAAGGTGATTTGTACACCAAAGCACATCAAATGATGCTATTTGTTCGCCATCCCATAAGATGCCTTTAGACTCTTTAGGTTAACAGGCACTTTGAATGGTCTATCACATTTCCATATTGTTTATATTAATATATTTATTCCCTGTTCTTTTTAGCTTGGATGGTACTGCAATCGTTCACATTAATTTTGAAAGTAACTGTTCAATGTATCCATCTGTACATGCCCTTTTTCTCCCCCATAACTTTGTAGATCTTATATAATTAATCTTAGAATAGAACAAAACATATGAACAAAATCTGCTGAATATATTACAAGGGTCAATTTCAATGGGTTGGCAGACTTCAATGGGTCAATAATAATAATAATAAGTCAATAATAATAATAATTGAGTCAATAACTGGCGAGTGCTTTTGGAATTACTGTACAAAACATATACATAAAGTTTTATATAACTTTTCTTGTATTTTATATTTTCTGTCTCATAGAATATGATTTACTTAGCGAATTTAGAGAACTGGATATAAAGTAAATTTTTATTCATTTTTGCTCAAGTTTTTACTTCTTATCTTTGTAACTTCACAATTTTATTAATAAAAAGAGTATTAATAAACTGATGCACACTTTTACGTCAGAATATTTTTAGCAAACTTCAAAAAGCCTTGACAGAATAAATCTATTATGCAAACTAGAATTCACCATCATGCTGCCCTTTCTAAGATCACCTCAACACAAAAACAATCAACAAAATTTTTGGCAATAATACATTGAATCAGAATCATCGTTTCACATGCAGGTACTAACGAGTTTTATCCTGTAAATTAATTTGAGCCTATGGCCTTTCGCATTTGATGTTTCATTTAAATCAGTGGGTGCATTTGCCCCGCTGCCTGCAGGTGAGAAAAAAGTATGACTGAAGTATTCATCAAGTATCTGGTAGCCCTTAGTAACTAAACATGTCTTATATCTTTCAATCTTGCCTACTGAATTACATTTAATTTTGAAAACCCATTTACAATCTACAATGTTCTTATCATAAGGTTTATCTGTTATTTCCCATGGGTACAACTCTAATATACGCCCTAATTTCACCAAATGTGGCGATATGTGTTCTGCGCTGGTTTTTGGCGCGATTGCGTGTTCATGCAACCCTGTCGGCGTTGAAAATCTTGAGTTGGAGCTCGTTGGTCGCCTCTGTGTCTGAGAGAGGGGGGAAAAGACTGAAATGGTAGTTGTTGATTGAAGTTCGGAGGAAAAAGGAACTATGATGTGGCTATCCTGGTGGGGGTAGTTGGTATTTGAGTGCGGAAAAGGGTTCTGGGAGATTGGAGATTATTTTAATGCAGTGCATGATAGAAGTAAGAATAGGATTTGTGAAAATTTTTGGAAAGTGTTTGTGGA